TTCCTTTGTGAAGCCATGCTAAGGCTGACCCTAGAGGGGGTCCTCTCAGGAGAGGGAGACCGAATAAGGTTGCTTCTGGGGAAAGTCCCAAGGAAGAGCCTTCCCCTTCCCCTCTGAAAGAGACAGATTGATTTTTTTCCTTCCCCCCGCATTCCTCCATGAAAGTGGGAATGAGTGAGCAGAGAGAGTGTCCCCGGTCTTGGGAGTTGCCTTTAAAACTAAAACTTCAGCAATGGAAGTAGTGTCTACCGGAACAAAGCTGGCTTTCCTTGTCTACATTTGGCTGGCAAATACAGGCACTGAATATTTTCAGTGGTGAGTCTTCTCAACATTTTTAAACTTGAGACACTTCTCAGGAAATGCCAGCTCTTAGTTTCGACTTTTTTTTGACTACAGAAAAATAGAGACATTCTTCTGTTGCAATGAACTCAGAGAGATTATAACAGGTCATAATGTTTTTAATGATATCAATTCCTATTTGAGATTTCTGGGTTTATCTTGTGAATCATGGTTGCACACCCAACAGTGGTAATATTGTGAGGCACCCTGCAGCACCCTTGAAAAGATCCCTCAGTGTCCTAAGCTGCCATTTCACCCTGCTTGAGAATCAGTGCTTTAGAAGTACATGAATTACTTCCCTGATTGCTTTTTTGGCAGAAACTCCAGGTCTACCAGTCTACTCAGAAATATTAAGCTGCTATCCCTTTTTCTAGACAAGCAAGGTACTCTGTATTGAAGGGAAAAAGGCATGGCTTGTCATCTCTGCATGGAAGGAGGATAAACAGAAAACCAAGCAAAGGTTAAAAAGAGAGAGAGAGTTTAGGCTTGTTCATCTTGCAAGGAAGAAAAAGGCAAGATTTAGTTGTTACCTTCCTCCTCTAAGTCAGAGGTTTGTAATTTGGATAGGAGAGGCTGACTTGCTGGATGAACTAAGTGACCAATTATCTCAAATCATATTCACAGTTAGACAAAATCCACACCTACCTATATCTGTTGTGTGAGCAGTTCATACATACTGCATCCTTATCTTGCAATATTTGTTTCCCTGAATCTTTACAGCTGTGGAGCACAGTGATGTTTTGAAATGTTTAGGAATACACCATGGACTGCTGAGTGTGCATTGTTGCTATTCTCTAGGCCAGTGGTTCCCAAACTGTGGGTCGCAGCCCCAAATGGGGTCGCAACATTGGCAAATGGGGTTGTGGGGGGCTGGGGTTGGGAGTGAGGGGCCATGCTGGGGAAATGGGGTCATAAATGAGGGTCATGCTGAAGAAAAGTTTGGGAAGCACTGCTCTAGGCATTCAGGAATGTATTTCACTCTGTAGTCTGGGTTTCCTACTAGAAAGAAATATAGTTATGAGGTGTGGGGGGCAAACTGAATAATTCCAATGATTCCTCTTGTTTCACTGCATCCATCTTATTTCTGTGAGCTGGAACTATTTTTAGAGCATGTGCTGTTAGGCAACATTAAAGAAACTGGCTAATACTGGCATCCTCATGATGATGATTAAAATAAAACAGGCTGTTCTAGGTATAATGTTATGCAGCGAGTTCAAGGCATGACCATAAAGACACACAAGGCGAAAGTGGTTGCTATCAAGTAAATCAGCCTCTTCCTTTTGTTTGTTTGTTTGTTTGTTTAATACTTGAGAGGCTTTACTGGAGAGCACTGCTTTAGTGCTCTTCCATCGAGTTGACTTGTGCAAGAGGGCAGAGTTGCTGCTATGGGGTGATCAAAGACAGTGTCAAGAACTTCAGTATGTCAACAGTTGCTTTTCTAGGAATCTGTGCAGAGTTTAACCTGGAGCTGCAGCAAAGCAATACCTACATGAGAGTTCTCCTTAAGGTAGGATAGTTGAAGGGCCCCTGGCAGATAATTGCGCAGTGGGATCTGACCCTGACTCAACAGTCCCAGTTCCATAGCAGGATGCATGACTGAAAGTCAGGAACAGATCCCACCCAGGCTGGAGCCCAGCCTGGGTGGGCAGTTGCAAAAGATCAGAAGCTTCTAGCAGGCAGAGCCAAGGGGCTTCCCCCATCAAAGAGTTCAAATCCCCGTGCCCTGCTGGGTGCAGGGTTTTAAATTCCTTTACAGAGGAATTATGTGGAACATCATTTGCAAAAATCATGCTCATGGGGAGAACATGTGATAGGAAAACGAGATGAATAATAGTTCTTGTGCTTCTGCAATCTGGTCTTGTTTTGAAAGAATTTTAGTCTATAATGGCTCCCCAAGATGTAAGAAAGAAGTTTGTCAAAAAAAGGCAATGGTCAGGTCACAAGGGCAGCATGTTTAAAGTGAGGGGAGAGAGAGGATATGATAGATGATAAGATTTGGGAAGAAAATGTTGAGGCAAGACACAGGAAGATTCAGCAAGTGGCTTCATAGTTTCGTAGTTTCTAGGGTCGAAAGAGACCTGAACAGATCATCAAGTCCGACCCCCTGCCTTGGGCAGGAAAGAGTGCTGGGATCATCATATCCCAGACCGGTATCTATCCAACCTCCTCTTGAAGACCCCAAAGGTAGGGGAGACCACCACTTCCCTTGGGAGCCCATTCAAGAGCCTGGCAGCCCTAACCATAAAGTAATGCCTTCTGATATTAAGGTAGTTGTGTACGTTCATCAGTTTAAAAAAGGCATTTGTACATTCTGTTCTGAGTGGTGGAAGCAAATTAAAACCTTGAGAGTAGACTCAAAGTACATCTATGGTGGTTTCCTTATGGCACATGGAACCAAGTTGCTTAATTATATTTTTGTATGAAGTTTTATTAATAAATCATTCACTATTTTCTTGGAAGAGTTACCCTCTAGCTAGATTTGTCAGCTTGTGAGTCTCCAGGAGGGTTTCTTCCTTTTGTGTCCTGTAACTATGAGATCTGAGGATTTAATATTACCATGCTCCTATTTTTTGTACTGTCTACCCTCAACAGGGTTTACCTAGATGGTATCTACAAAACAGAGTGGTTCAGTGGGGGAGACGGTGGATCTCTCCCAAATATATGGCCTTACACTTCAAAGGAGCTACAGCCCCTACAAAGTTCCTTGAAGAAGTTCCTGTCTTTTCCTGTTCTTTTATAATCCAACTGGAATTTATTTCTCTGACTGTGGCAGCAGACTGGACCAAACTGTATCCTGTTCAGTTGGTCATATGCCAGCAGTTATAGCGGAGCATTGTGCTAGCTAGAATTAGGAGAGACCTATAAATACTTGTCTCGCAACTGGACAATGAAATCAAGGACCTAAGCAAAGGATTATACCGATACATGACCTCTCAGTAATCAGACATATGATGCAAGTATCTGAACTTCTGAAGTTCTGGACTTGGAAATGATCAATGCTGGGGGACAGCCAGATCTAAAAGATAAGTAGGCTTGGCAGAATTTGGGTTTGTTTTTTGAGGGTTTTTTTTTGGGGGGGGGTGTTGATGGCTAAAATCAGTGTTCATTTTTAAGCATTCTGATTTTTATCAATTTAAATTTTCAGGATTGCACAGAATTAAGAGTGTGGAAGGCAGACAGTTTTTTTTATTAATGACAGCATACTGTTAAAATCTTTATCAAATCACATGTCAAAATATAAAAAGTAAATATCCACAAATCAATAAAGCATACCTGCTTTAAATCATGGTGCCGTTGCTGTCATGGAGTAGGGCGCAGGGGCAGGGGCTGTGCTTGGTATGGAAGGAGGCTTGTCAGAGGATTCCTGACAGTCACCTGCCACTGCACTCCCTGAGCTCCACACTGCACCATGAGGAACCGGCTGCTCAGCCCAAGGCAGGAAGCGGCTCTCCACTCCCTGCAGCCCTTTAAGGGGCAAGCCCCACCTGGCGGGCACCAGTGGAGGGGCAACCCAGCCCCTTGATGGTTACAGCCTCCCACCCCTCCAGGCAGCATGGGGCAGCAGCTGGGCCCCAGAGGCACCCCTGTACACTCCGCCTTGAGCACGCTGGGCTGGGTTGGACTCAGTGAGAGTTTGGTGCTTGAACCCCAGCTAGAACCTGGACAAAGCCAGCAGCCAGTGGCACCGGTCTCCTGGCTGCCTAAAGCCCTGCCCCTTGGCAGCGGCACCCCATAGCAGCATCCACCCCTCCCTTTTCCAGCACAGCCCCCAGCTCCTGCAGGAGCTGCCAGAGATGTTGCCAGAGGAGCAGTGTGTGGATGGCACAGTCTGCAACAGCTTGTGAGCGTGTGCGACACCCCCCCATCTTGAATTTCCTTACCCCTGTCATGGATTTTTCTTTATTCTTATATCCCCTTTCCAAACATTTTGATAATTATCAATGGAAATATTTTTCCATTGGTCTGGTTTGTGTGTATGAGGTGAAATCAACATTTAGCTATAAAAATCAAATCCTGCCAATCCTAAAGATGAGGTAACATCTGATTAGAATAACTGGAGCAACACAAGGTATACAGATTGAGAAATATGTTCTGCACCTGTTTCTGTCTTATGCATAGATGTTTCAGTTTCATCTCTGAATGAAATTATGATCCCAGTGGAGGGCGCCCCTGGACCTCAACAGATATTGAATAAATAACTAGAGCTCTACTTTAAGAAGATCAGTTGTTCTTCATGGGTGTCTCAACAATTAGAATAAAAGAATGGGCTTCTTTATTTTCTATACTGAGAAGAGAATGGCTTAGAGCACTATATGAAAATTGATTCTGTTGAATTTGTACAGATATTCTTAACATTTCTATTACTAGACTTGCATATTTGTTTCAGTTATTGAAGTTTCTACATCTTCAGTAGTCTTTTTCCCTGTTATGGGATTAGATTTACTGTGTCCTGTTGCTCATAGTTTGTAAAGTATGTTGTCATTCATTGCAAACACACTTTTTTTTTTGCTTTACCATCTTATAAGTACAGACCAGCATACTGATTTTTATGTTTATGTATTTGTGCAGCCCAGAGGAGCACTGGAGAATGCCTTAAAGGGACATGCAAACAGTATTCGAACAATTCATGATCAGCAAGTTATTCCACTGGAGCAAGCCATGGTAAATTTTCAAAACGTGTTGTTTTATGAACACACAGATTAGAAAAATATTAGCAAAGACAAAGTGGAAGGATTTTTATTTTGTACAAATTTCACAATAGACTTAGCTTCACATATTATGTATTTTCAAAATAGACATTTTTGTATTTTTTATGTCTAAATATAGGTTTTATATATTTTATGGTATTCAAAGTATGGAGAGGTAGTTAGCCTTTTTAGTCTCGAATCAAGTAGAAGACAAGGTAGATTTTTCACCTTACCGACCAATTAAATCATAATGCATAAGAAAATGCATAAGCTTTTTCAAGCAGCAGCTTGCTTCTACAGATGCTGTGAAGGGACTGCAGGAAGCAGATCTTCTAAACAGAAAGCCACAATTAGAATACAAAGAGTAGGAAAGTGGGAGGGAAAAGGATGGGGCACTGCTGGGGCAGCGTGGTCAGGTTAAAGTATGTTTTTAACAAAGAAATTGCATTGCATGTGTTAGTATTGGTTAATATTAGTTTATAATATTTCTTAATAAAACTTACCTTTTCTTCTTTGGTTTTTATAGTTTCTCTGCTTACACATAATATTATATACTGGGGAAAGGGAAGGGAGAGACTTCCAAAACCTCTAAGCTTGTATATTATTGGATTTTCCTTTTACAGATCATTCATCCTGGGTAATGGAAATGGTTGTAATTTTTGCACTTAAGAGACAGATTTACTTTCTTGAGTGTAGGAATAGCCTACTACTACAGTGTTTGATTTGGAAATTCTATGGGGCTACATTTTAAAGAGAGACTTTTTTTTGTAGAAACCTTTTAAAAGATCCAGAATTGTTTGGCTTTTTTAACAGGATTTGCAATGCATTTTTTTAAGTGGCAAACTCAAACCATATCTCCACCAGATGTCAGCTTATATATATTTTGCTTAAGTTTTTCAGTTTATTCCGTTTTAGTGTCTTATGTATCCAGTTCTATTAAGTGAACAGCACCTCTTGGAAGGTACAGGGCAACTTTTTTCCAGAATTGTTGGAAACTGAGAAAACTCCACTGTATTTCTGTCCCTGTCAAGTTCCTCTCATAGAAAAATAATAGGGATTCTTTTCCAAACTCTTGATTCTTTGCTGTATCTTTTCTAATTAACTCTTAATTATTCTCATTTTTTCTTTTCCTTTTTCCAAAACTGACTGTCAAGAAATATGTTAAAGCTAGGGTAAGTGCTTTTCTTTTCTGAAGCTCCACAATAATACTTCCCTCTCTGGTGTAACATACTGGGCGCACACAGTTAATTTTAACCATTTTACCTTCAACGAAACAATATCAAACTCTTGTTACTAATTTTGGGTATATTTTAGATGCACAATTTAAAAGCTACCGTATGTTTTAGCTAAAGTATTGTTGAATTTTGTTCTAAGACTGTCAGTTACAAACACTGACTTAATTCCATTAAAGGGTTGTCATCTGTTCTTAGCTGGTGCAGCTGTGTTGATTCCATTAATATTAAGGTTGATGAAAAATGGTATTCGATCTGGTTTTTTGTTGGTGGTTTCACTCTGTATGCTCAGACACACAGTATGAAAGCATTATGGTTCTTATTTGCATTGATATGTGGAATCTTTTTTTTTTCTCCTTTCTTTTTCCTTTAACTAGAGCACTTTAAATCAGAGCATTCGATTACTGCAGAAGACATCATCTGAACTTATGGTAGGTTTGTCTTTTAGTGATAAGAATGTAAACTATTTTAATTAGTCCTGTCCTACACACGGCATGGATACTGCCTGTAACTTTTGAACCCTTTTTTTTCTTACTAATTTTTGTCGGGAAAGAAGACGGGGGCTGGGGACTAGATGTCTGGAGGTCTGGATTCTGTTCTATAGAGTTTCTTATGCTTTGGGTTCCCCACATAAGTGCTTGATGTCCTGAGTACTATTGATCAAACGTAGTTATCATGGTCAGAAAGCAGCCATAAATCATGACATTTTTGGCTTTATAAACATGCTACTGGGAATTTAATTCTCACATAGTAAAAAAAGCATTGGAACAATC